TTTTTTTTTTTTTTTTTTTTTTTTTGGACAGTGGTATTGGTAATTGAACTGAGGACTTTTGGCCTCTTTGTCAAAGATCAGATGGTTAAGTGTGTCTGGTGTTGTTTCTTCTCTGTTCTGTCCCATTGATCCATGTGTATTTTTTTGTTGTTTTTATCACTATAGCTTTGTGATATAACTTGAAATTCAAGATTGTGATATCTCATAGTTTGCTTTTGTTACCCAGTATTGCTTTTGCCATTCTGGGTCTCTTCTGGTTTCATATGCATTTTAGGATTGTTTTCTGAAGTTCTGTTAGGAATATTGTTGTTATTTTTACTGTGGTTGTATAATCTTTACATTAGTTTTAGAAGTATGGCCCATTTGACAGTGTTGTTCAGCATATCCAGGAACAGAGTTTATCCTTCCATTTTCTGAAGAATGTGTCTGAATTTTGTTATTCCAGTAATCATTTGGTAGATTTTTTTTTTGTATCTTCTCTTAAAGGATCATGTCATCTGCAAAGAATACTTTGACTTCTTCCTCTCTTATATGTACCCCTTTTATTTCTTTCTCTTGCCTCATTGTTCTGGCTGTTTTGAGTACTAAATGAACAGGAGTGGTGCTCGTGGACATTCTTGTTCTTGATTTTAGAGGCTATTTTGGCTTATATCTAGATGTCCACCCAAAACCTCATGCACTCATAGACGGGGCTTCTGGGAGCTGACTGTATTTTGGGTGTGTGATTCTGGATCATGGGTGTTTGTTACTAGATTAGTCCACTCATTGCTTCATAGCTATCATAGCTATGATTGTAGAAGTGAAGTCTGATAGAAGGAGTGTTGCTGTGGGTGTGGCCTGCATATCCATCCATCCATGCATCCATCTCTCTTTCTTGCCTGGAGTACTTGCTGCTTCCTGCCTGCTGTGCCCCTCTGCCATGCTGCAGTGTCTTGGAGCTAGCTGAAACTTCCAGAAACTGTGAGCTAAAATAAACTTTTCCTATTTTAACTTGTGTGTGTCAGGTGTTTTATCCCAGTAGTGAGGAAAGTAAGACAGAAGTAAGGCTTTCGGTTTTTAATATGATGTTGGCAGTAGGTTTGTCATACATGATTTTTATCAGATTGAGATAGAGTCTATTTTCCTCAGGGTTTTTATCATGAATGGATGTTGCATTTTGTCAAAGGCTTTTTCTGCATCTATTGAGATGATCACGTATTATATTTATTGATTTGCATATGTTAAACCATACTTGCATCCCTGCAATGAAATTTACCTGGTAATGATGTATGATCTTTTTGATGATTTGTTTCACTCTACTTACCAGTATTGTTGAGAATTTTTGTGTCTATGTTCATTAAAGAGATTGGCTTGTAGCTTTCTTTTTTTAGTTGAGTCCTTATTTGGTTTTGAGATCAGAGTAATTCTGGCCGCCAGGAATGACTTTGGGAGTATTCCTTCCCTTTTAATGTTTTTAAACAATTTGAAGTGTACTGGTGTTAAATTGTACCTGAAAGTCTTGTAGAATTCAGTGTGAATCCATTTTTTTATTCAGTGGTGAACCCAGCTTTTGTTAGTTGGTAGGGTTTTTTGTTTGTTTTGGTTTTCTTCCACAGTTTCATTGCCTATTATTGCATTGTTCAGTTTTTATGTCTTCTTTTTTGTTTGTTTGTTTGTTTGTTTTTGTAATTCAGATATGTTTAGGAATCTCTTCATTTCAAGATTCTGCAATTTGTTGCAGTACAATTTTTCATAGTAGTTACTGATAATCTTTTGGATTTCCATGATGTTCATTTTGATTTTGCTTTAATTGATCTCTGATTGCATTGATGTGGGTCTTTTCTTTGCTTTTTTTGGGGGGGTAAGATTGGCTAAGTCTATTTTGTTCTTTCAAAGAACCATCTCTGATTGATTGATTCATTGTATTGTTGTCTCAGTTTTTAAAATTTCTCCTATCCTCTTTATTGTTTCCCTCCTCATACTAGGTTTGGGTTAGGACTGTTCTTGTTTTTTTACTATCTTGTGGTACATCATTAGGTTATTTATTTGCGTTCTATTTTTCTAATGTAAGCATTCATAGCAGTCAGCTTTCCTGTTAGGACTGCTTTCATTGTGTTCCATAGGTTCTGGTATGTTGTACTGGCATTATCATTTGTCAGCCATAGCTATCCTGCTGTGATCGAGAACTTTCTAAGTTATTCATTCTATCCAGCTGCAACTCTGTGCATGTTAGGCATATTCTCCATCTCTTTTCTCTCCTGATTTGCTTTATTCATCCTTGTTTTTGTTGTTAAAGTAGTTTGCAGCTTAACATAGGTTGTGACCAGTGAAGGTAATGGTAACAAAGAGGAAATTTTAGGACTCTGTGAACCTTAGAGTACACTAGACTAAATTAGATAGTTTTTAATATTCAGAAAAAAACGGCAAACTGTTTATATTTGTATGTCTACTTTTTCCTAGGCAGAGAATCCTCCTAATGGACCTGAATGTGGTTATGGCTCCTTTCACCAGCAGTACTGGCTTGATGGAAAGATTATTGCTGTGGGGGTGATCGACATCCTTCCATACTGCGTTTCCTCTGTATATTTGTATTATGATCCTGATTATTCATTTCTCTCCTTGGGTGTCTACTCTGCATTACGGTAAGATTACTACTTTTGCACTTGTTATAATGGGTTACATAGAACTTCAAATACTCATTTGATTATATTTTATTATGTAACACTAGAAACCCTATTTGACAATGTTTTATAATTTTTTGCTATTGTCCCTCAGTTATATGTTGATATTTAGAAGTCCTATCTTTAGAACTCATGTCACTGTTGGTAATTCTCTGATCTAGCTTTTTAGTGTTTCTGTAGACTCTACTTTATAGGAAACCTATATATAAATTTGGGAATGTTTTTTAAATGTTATATTATTTATATTCTCATCATCACTAGCTTATGTATTTTTAACCAATTAAAAGTTAATGTGGTATTAATGAATTAAAGCAGTATGAATCTGCTGAAGGAAATATAGTTAGTCTTGTTGCTTAAGGACAGGGACACATTCTGAGAAAGCGTAGGTAGTTTTGTGGTTGTATACACACATTATTTGTTGTAGTTACACAAATTAGATGGGTACAGTGTCACTAGGTTGCATACAGTGGTACCACAGTCCACAAACTTAATTCGTTCTATAATTTTAGAGAAGATGGCCATGTTTGTATTTGTGTGGGAAAGATGGTCCTGGTGGTGTTTGTCACCCAATGCACAGTTTGCAACCAAAACAAAATTTTGCTAAATTCCTCTGTTTGCAAATCAAATTGTTTGCAAACAAAAACATTTGTGAACCAATTCACCACTGTAATTTTATGGACCATTGTTAGCTATGTCATTATTGGATCATGAATATCTGTACCAAACAGGAATGGAGAATTCCTGGCTGGCTGCTTGAATCTGTGATCCTCAATAGAAAATAATTTCCCTTTTATGTCCCTACGTGGCTGCAGACATATATAATGTAGGGCAAACATCTTTTGATGGTAAGAAGATTGGGGCCTTTTCATCAGAATATTTATTTCTATTCTTTATTTTATTACTAGGGGTTGTTTCTATTTTTATCCTGCTTCTCTATATGTGCATGTAATACAGATGGTAAGGCGTGGTTGGAATTGTTTTTCTTTTTGTTGTCTGGAAGCTCACCTGTTCTATTTTTCTCTTTCATTTCTTAGTCTTTATGTCTCGTACTCACACTTTTACTCATGATGAAATATTCAGCCAGATTATTTTATATTTTGTGTGTGTGATTTTTTTGTTTGTTTGTTATAAATGTAGAGTTTGTTTTTTCCTTAAATAGCAACTTGCTTTATTTTTTTTCAAAATCTGGTCTAGTCATTGTATTTTAAAAATTTTTATTTTTATTAGTACATGTTTGTAGTACATAATGGTTACATTCATTGTGGAGAATTGGTACATGTGAGTAGCACATTTTCATTCTTTTAACATCCCCTAATAATTGATTTTTTTGTATGCTTTTCAGTGGCTTACAGTATAGATTTCTCCATCTTGATATTTTCAACCTGGTTTTTCTCTTAATACTAGCTTATAACATTTTCAAAATTATATAATAACTGATCTCTGTGTTTTATTTTTCTTATGCATTTAGTAGCCTTTTTGTATGAAGTGATTATATTCATTGCTGTTGGCAGTCTTACTGGAACTGGAATTTAGAGCATTACGTTTTATAACTTAGAAGTTTACATTTATTCTCTTTAGAAGTTTATATGTATTTCAGAAAAATGCATTTTCTTTATATCACAATCATTTGATACTTTCAAATTATTGCTATTTTATTTTTTATGTGTCACTTTACAATATGCATTTATAGATTTTTCTGGGCCAATCAAATGATATTAATACTATTTAATCTTACATAATAAATCCTTACCTATGTATAAAATATTTATTTATGGTTCAATAATCTGAGAGGTAATTCAGATTCCTGCTGCATTTGAGATAGTAACTAATGGCCAGCAAAATGAGAGTTTTGTTTATCTCATGGTATAGCTTTTGCAAAGCTTAGCTGGAGAGCTAGGAGGAAGCAGCAGAGCTTGAGGGCACAGGTGTTGCCAGGGAGCAGAGAGTGACCACTGTGCTGCAGGCTGTCATTTCCTTTTAGGTCTCTTGAAAGAGGAGTCCTTGGGTTTATAGTGGAGGAAAGGCAGCCAAGAAAGATTGACATTTTTGAGACAAAATTGGGCAGAAGAGGTTACAAGTTGACAGTTTTATTATTGATTTTAATGGATTTCAGGAGAACCTGTTTAGGTAGTTTTCCTTTTGTTTGTTAATCCTACAATCAATATCAAATTTTGTATTTTTAGACTTTATGTAATGGAGTCACATATTTTAAGTGTTTGGAAATCAGTGCTTATGGTATTTACTTATGTATATTTAGGAAGATGAATTTTAGAAATGTAATTACTTTTTAAACATATTTATTTGCACATAATCTTTTTCCTTGCACCATTCACAGAAGTGAATAAGATAGACAAGACTTCCAATCTATTAAAGCAAACAGTAAATTACAAAATAGACTACTTAATTTTAGATACTCCAAAGTACTCGGTAGAAAGCAAAATCAGCAGCTGGGCCTTGTGTTTTGCAGCTGTACCCTTAGCACTCTGGGAGGCTGAGGTAGGAGGATCATAAATATTGAGCCCAGCCTGGCAATTTAGCCACTTAGCAAGATCCTGTCTTAGAATGAAATTGAAAATAAATAAATAAGAACTTGAGGTGTAACTCAGTGCGAAGGACCTAGCTTCAATCTCTAGTGATGCGTGTGATCATACATAAATATCAGCAGTGGTGGTAGGTGCAAGAGGGGCGGGCAAGATCTGTTTTTTTAAAAAAATGTTTTATTGTATATGTTTGTGATACATTGTGATTATATTCAATTTGGGTTATTAATATATGTACATATCACATCTTGTTCATTTTTACTTCCCCTGACCTTTCCAGACCTCCTTTTTTCCTCCTTCCCCAGATCCCCTTCCCATCTCTATAGTCTACCTGATTCTTGACATGTCTTAACATTTATACAAATGACTCTTAATTTTTTCCTCTTTGTAGTTGAGTAATATGTATATTACAGTTTTTCCATTCATCTGTTGCTAGGCACATAGGCTGTGCTTCCATGATTTTGCCATTGTGAGTTGTGCTGTTATACATATGGATACTTGTATCACTGTAATATGTTAATGTTAGCTCTTCTAGGAGGATGCTCAGAAGAGGTATAGCTGGGTCAAATGGAATTTCTATTTTAAATTTGTTCAAAAGTCTTCCTACTGCTTTCCATAATAGTTTAGTTTACATTCCCACAAACAATATAGAAGAGTTCCTTTTTCTCTACCAGCATTTGTTGAGGCTATTGTAGTATCCAGGTGAGCCATATATGATGAGTTAGATCAGAATATTTGAAGTGGAGGTGATGAGAAGTAGCCAGATGCAGGGTATATTTTAGAGATAAAGCCCAGATGACTTTCTGGTGGCTTGTTCATGGAGGTGAGAACAGAAGAGCAGGTAAGGAGGACTGATAGTTTTGGAGGGAGCGGTGAGGGGATGAAATGAGTTGGGCAGGACTAAGTAAAGAAGTACAGTGGTGGCTCACCTGGCCTTACGAGAGAGGGTGGTTCTACATTTGTTTGTATCTGCTCATTCTTTTTTGGGGAGTGGGGTACTGGGGATCAAACTCGGGACCTTGCGCTTATGAGGCAGGCAGTGGAACCACTGAGCTAAATCTCTGTCCCTTATCTGTTCATCTTTTCCTCACTTTGAACCTTGAAAGTGGATTAGTTCTAGGAATAATAAAATGTATCCTGTTATAGGTGAATGTTTAATCTGCTTGGATTTAGAAGCACATACATTCTCAGTTCAATCTTTAAAATTCACAAAACAGGTTTTTTGGTGTAACAGTCTTTCAGAGATTTAAATTTGAACTTGAAAAAAAAAGCACAAAATCTTCAATTGATACATTTCTTCTAAATTTTAAGTATCCATTGCTTCTAAAGCATGAAAGAGAAATCCTTCAATAAATGCACAAACATTAAAACAACTTTGTGTTTTAGAAATGTACTCAAATTAAACCCTTCACATACAGCCAGTTGTTTAACTGAACAACTAGGATAGAACTGTGCCCAAGATTTGTCTGGATACAGATTACACTTCACACATTGGACTACATTGAGGGTACTGACCGCTTCTTTGTCCAAGCAGCCCCTCACCTCTGCCAACAGACAGAGAAAATGTGGTGAGGTAATATTATTTTCCCTTTCATTTTAGTGAAAATGTATATAAAATTTGCACCTAAATATAAGGATCAATGTGTCATATCAGCTGAAAATATTTGTATGTAAATGGTCATAATAATAGTTATTTTTCTTGAAATGTATTGATTTTTAAGTTTTCTAAAATTTGTTCCTCTGTTCTTAATCTGGTAAACCCAGATTCTTTGAGGATTCTAGAGTTGTAGATCTCTTTAATCTTGTGCTATTTGAATTTTAGATCAACTACTTTGCCCAGCAGATCCTCAAAATAACTTAGAAAGTTTGGGGTGTCTCTTTAGTAAAAATCATCTTGTAGTGCTTTGAAAATGTTTTTATTTCAAGATTTTGATTTTTTTGGATGCTTAAGGCCAGATTTTATCAAATATTTATCATATAATTTTTTGAAAGCTGGAACTAGAATTAACTGTACCTTCATCTTCTTTTGGCAGAGAAATTGCTTTTACTAGGCAACTTCATGAGAAAACATCTCAGCTCAGCTATTACTATATGGGTTTCTACATTCATTCATGTCCCAAGATGAAATATAAGGTAAAGTTGATTTTCATGCATTTGTCTGTTTTCTTTATAGAAAAATGGAACTTTAATAAAATTTTTATCTCAAGGCATAGGATTTGGAGCTTTGAAAAAGGATGAATAAGTTAATAAGGAAATCTCTTGGCTGTCTCAAAGAGTAAGCTTTCTGTAATGAGAACCACAACCTATGTTGGTCTTACTTAGGGTAATTGTTATTTTGGGATTTAAGTATATTTCAAATTTCCCTTTTAAAAAAGATTGTATGACTTTAGTGAAACTCTTTGATGTTTCCTAAGTATTAGGAAGTTCAGAGCTGTAGAGAGGAGCAGACTGTTCCCTCCCACCCACTGTGATTCCCCCGCCATCACAGAGGGCTTTAAGAGCTGAATATTCAAAGATACAGGCATAAGCATAGCACTTGAAGCTCTGATGAGTTGAAGAGATGTAAGCATGAGTCTTCCAATTAAGAATTGTGATCTAGGTGAATCTGGGGACATCCTATATGCATCCAGGTCATACACTGGTTGGTAAGTGACCTAGAAGGATATGTGGTTTTAATCCATAAGGTGGGGAGGGAGAAAGGAGAGCCTTAAGAAAAGAGTAGGTATGATGGAGAAGCATATTTTAAGGAAAATGAATGTACAAAGAGTTAGACATGATAGTGCCTATAATGTACTCATAGGAAAAAAAATGATCAGTGGACAAGGAAGGACCTTGAAAGCTGGCCTAAAGAATTCTGGCAACTAAAGAAAAAAATCTATTTTGGGGCTGGGGATTTAGCTCAGTGGTTCTGCCACCTGCCTTGCAAGTACAAGGACCTGAGTTTGATGCTGGTACCAAAAAAACAAACAAACAAACAAACAAAAAAAACCAAAAACTCTGGCAACTGAGAAGTCATTGGTGGTTTTCAGAGCAAAGAGCAGTATAAATAAATATATAAATCTGTTCTTATGTATAAACATGATTTTTAACTAAAAAGTAAGAATTTAAAAACAAGCTATAATTAAGACATGTACTCGAGCCCCTGTGTACCCAATATCAAACATCAGCAATCATTACACATCTTATGTTATCTATTTCTTTGCTTTGTTCCTTCCTCTACCCCGTTTTGAATGATTTTGGAGCAGATCTAAAATAGTCTTCATTTTAAAATATTTTAATGTGTATTTTTAAAAGATAAGGGTACTTTAAGAACACACTCTCATTGTCATATCTAATATATAGTAATGTTTCCAAATATCATCTGATATCCAATCAGTGTTTACATTTCTCTAATTGTTTCATAATTTTTTTTCACTGTCAGTTTGCTAGTCTTAGAACTCAAATGAGGGCTAGACTATATTTGGTTGACAAATCCCTGAAATCTTTTAAATCCACACCCTTCCCCCCTCCCTTGTCCTAAATGAATAATCCATAGAACTTCATGATGAACAGTTGTGAGAATGATCCTGGCTTCAAAATGTTGAGGTGAAATACTGCATGGCTGATGGTTCTATGTCAGAAAGTACATATTCTAAAAGTGGGACTGGCTTTGAGAGCAGAGTAAAAACAGTCTTTTACCTTGCTGGTTTTACATTGACAGTCCAGGTACTCTGATCCAACTATCTTTCTGCCATTTGGAGATTCTCTTTTGATCTCTTACTTGTTTGATCTCTCTTACACATAGATAGTAGATAGATAACTTCTATATTTGGTTGTCTTCAAAATTACCTTTATGTCTGAGTTATAAATTTACTTGATTGACCTAAACATATGTTCTTTCCAGAAGAAAAGTTATGATAATATTTGTTTGCCCCAAAATATTACTTGTGTCTTCTCCTAGCTCATTTTCCTCATCCAGTATTTAATTCTGAATTAGTCCAAGGTGGAAAACTGAAACATTCCAGCTATTTTGATCCCATTGCAAAGCTCAAATCTCTGGCTGTGCTGTATATTAACCTTCCTTTGTACATGACCATTCTAAACAGAAGTGTTTTTATACCATACTTCAGTACTTGCAGGGATTTCATTTCCGATAGGGAAAGATACTGTGGGATCTTATAGACATTAACAGAGTGTGGCTACTTTAAATTATGTGGTCAGGATTGAGGTTTAATATTTAGGCAAAGATTCAAATCCCAGCAAGATAGCCAGCGGAAGTTTGGAAGTCATTTCAAAAAGAAATTGTGGAAAATTAGATTCATTCATAGGAAAATGGATACAGATTGAGGATATGCTCCTAAGTGAAATAAATAAATGAGTCAACATGTGTAAATACTGAATAGTTTCTCTGGTGTGAAAAACTATAATAGTACATAAGAGCCTAATGAGATAATTGATAATGTGAAATAGGAAGAAATGGGCTAAAGTTGTAGGGAAAGTGGGAAGGGTAGGAGAAATGTAATAAGGGAAAAGAAAAAATATGAGGAAATGAAAAAATGGAAATAAAGTGTTTGTAAATGGGGAGGGGAGGAGGGGGTGAAGGGAGGGCAGGGACAAGGGGAAAAAGTGAGAACCAAGACCTGTCATGTAAAGGTACAAGATCCCAATAATAAATGTAACTGTATTGTATACCTAAATTGTACCAATAAATTTAAAAAAGAGAGAGAGATTATGGAAACAGTGTTGAATCTCCAAAGTCTTCAGTTTTGACTGCAGGATACTTTTTTTTTTTTTTGGATTTTTGAGACAGGGTCTCACTATGTAGTTGAGACTGACCTGGAACTCACTATGTAGCCCAGGCTGGTCTCAAATTCATAGCAATCCTCCTGCCTCAGCCTCCGGAATGCTGTGGTTACAGGCGTGAGCCACCACGCCCAGCTGACTGAAGGGTACTTTACACACTTCTGGAAAACATTTAAAGTTCTAATACTTGGGTCCTACTCTCAGAGATCTTAATTCATTGGTCTGGGATCAATAGCAAGTATCAGTCTTTATCTTTTCTTTTTGTAAATGCATGGAGGATTCTGGTGTAAGTCAGACTTAATCACTGTACTGGAACCAAGGATTTAGCTCAGTGGTTCTGCCACCTGCCTCACAAGCACAAGGTCCTGAGTTTGATCACCTGTACCAAAAAAAAAAAAGAAACGATGACTGTACCAAGTTATTTTTTTATATTTGGGAGCCCAGTGAGGAACATGAAAGATGATTATTTCTCATTTTAAAGTTTGCTATTTTCTGTTTATTAAATTCAGAAGTGATTAAATTTATTATTATAAATATATATTTTTTATTTTTGAGGAAACTGTTTTTGCTTTGTCATCTTTTGAATGTCTTCCTCAAATCTTTACACTTTTCTCTCTTTTCCTGCCTCTTTGCCCACCCCCTGTACTTGCAAATTCTTCATCCATCATTTTCAGACTTATTTGTTGTAGACTCTTGAGATTAGATTTGACCACCCACATAACTCCACAGCATTCTACATTTCTTCCCCAAATTCAAGTCTCTGTTTATACATTCCACATGATAGCTGATATATTTTTTGTCATTTGCTCCAGGTAGTTTACAGTATGCCAGCTACATCATAGATGTTTAATACTTAATAAATATTTGTTGAATTAATGAATAGCAATATTAATGGTGTTGTTGAAGAAGTATGTGGGATGGTGAGGAACTCATTTGTTTACCTAATATTTATTGAATGATAATTGGAAAGCTTCCACTTTGCACATATCTTAGTGATAGATACACAGTTTTAATAGAATGTTGTAAGCACTGGGATTGGGTATTTCAGAGTATAGATAAATACTGTGATAGTACAGTGAGGTGGAAGGTACTGAACCGTGTAACAGTTTGGAGAAGTTGCTTACCTATATCTTGTCTCAGTCTTTGCAACTGTAAAATGGAAATGGTGTAGAAATTAGATTTATTATGTTAATATCTCCATTTGAATATGGAGTCTGCCAAGCTGTGTAGCATTTATGAAGTCATCACCTATCTCTTTTTTTTTTTTTTTGGTACTAGGGGTGGAACTTGGGACCTTGGGCTTGCCAGGCAGGCAGCAGAACCACTAAGCTAAATCTCTGGCCCTACCTATCTTTTGTCAGGACCCATCAAGGCTCTGCTTGCTTCCTGATAAATATCCAAACTTCCAAACAGGCCGTATCATTAGCCAGACTTTTTAATTTAGGTGCTGGAGAAAAGGAGAAGGTGGAGCTAGTGGATACCAGTACTCTGTGAAAATTCCCAGAATTGAGGACAGTTGTTTTTTGCTCAGTGGGAAATGAGCAAAGCTGTGTTAGAGGAGGTCCTACAAATGTGAACCTTTCAATAATAAATCCTCCATTCAGCTCTGGCCTTATCTGTTCAGGACAGAAAGGATCTCTTACAGATGAGCTGTTTATTGACTGAATAAAATGACTATTTTGCTCCACTGAAATGAGAGGTTGACACATTTGTCTTGGGACTATGAGATATTTTTCATCATTGATGACAGTTTAACTAATACTCAATTCAAGGTCATTTGTTTCAGAGTATCTTTTTATGCTACCACAAATTGAGCCATTGAGTTGGAGGAGGCAGAGACAGGGGTGTGGTAGCATACTATATCACTCACTGTTTCCTTGTTTCAGATGTTTGCATTAGAAGCCAAGAAGGTGATTTCTGTTACTTAGGGGTAAGATAGGTAATTTGAGTAAGTTACAGGCATGATAAATGATTCCCATTTTATAACTGACCTTAAAATAGCAAGTTGCCATGTCTCTGAAAGAGCTTAGAGCAACAGTGTCAAAATAAAAGATGACTTTGATTATGTATATCTCCTGGTATTAATATCTATTATGATATGGATTGGTAGAAATTACTTAAAAAACAGATCGATCTCTTAATAGATTAAAACTAACCTGAAAGCTAGTGTTGCCATGTAAAACTTCTTGCTGGAATTGTTTTGAGTATTTTTTTTTGAAATCATGAATCCTGAGGAAATTTAATTGATAAAGCAGGAAATTGAGGAAAAGTGTTACAATTCTTCTATAAGAATTAAAGCTGAACAATTAGCATAAAAATGTTACTGTTTTGAGGAGCCACCAGTGTCAGGT